CCCCCCCCCCCCCCCCCCCGCATCACGCTCTTACTCAATGACGCGCCGAGTCGCGTCTCATCGATGAAATTCTTTTTTCCTTATATTTCCGTTTTGATCATCATTTCCCCCTTATATCTACATATCTCTACCCCCCGATTATGTGAATATCACGACTCTGCATTATGTACTGTAGTTATTAATTTGCCTTGTTGCTTGGAGATAATAAAAAGACACACTACTTCTAAACCAGCCTATTCCTACACCCATTCATAATCGATGGAAAAGTTACAGACAGATGACTGAACCACAGCAGAGCACCGGACAGTCGAGCGAGACAGTAAGCAGCTACTATGTATACACACACACAAAGACAAAAAGATCGAGGGAAAGGAAACACGATAGTTTATCTACTCTATCCCAAATAGACAAAAGGAATGAAACAAAAAAAGATCACGAAAAAGATATCTCCGATGCGGGGAATCGAACCCCGAGCTGCCGTGTGAAAGACGGCGATGTTAGCCGTTACACCACATCGGATTATTGTTGAATAACAAAGCAATATTATAATCTAAGTAGAACAAGTTTACATCCCTACCTGAAAAGAGAATTCCTAGTTACTTGATTCTACTACTTACTACTCCTACTACCCTTCATAATACCATTTCAATACATTCCATAGAGTATGATTGAGAATTTATGATAGAGGGGCATGTACAGTAGCACAATTAATAATTCTGGGAGATATGATACTTTGTCATCTTGGTGTGAGGGGGGTTAAAAGCAGCAGGGAGGGAGTAGTACTTATCGTTTTACAATGAGGTATAGTTCAATAAAGCTACATGTGTGGTGGCTGTGAGGGCTACTAATCAATCTTACTACGTTGGTTTTTTTTTTTTTTTTTGGATGGGTAATGAGGAGGTATGTCGGTAGCTGAAGGGTTAGGTGTTGGTATTATGGGATGAATAGAGGGGGTGAGGGAGTAAGGGACTTGGTATCCTGGGTGGGTGCGTAGGACGCGAGGTATACCCGGAAACTACTTCCTCGTTACTACTACTTAATTCTATACCAAGTTGGATAGTGGATCATTACAGGGGTTGCATTAAGAAATGAAAAAAAAATGTCGCTCATATGATTGATCCAACTATATAGCAGGCGATGTGGCTATCAACAGATTCGCTCGAGCAGCAGAAATATATGTTAAAAAAAAAAAAAAACGAGTATTAACAGGTAGAAGTAATAGTAAGAACCGAAACCAGCTATATGTATAAATCAGCGAATGTATATATAGAGCAGTCGGTCGATATAGTCGAAAAAGAATGTCAGTTGGTTATTTTATTTCCCCTTTCCCCATTTCTTCACTCGGAAGACATAGTACAACATGACGGCGCCGGCAATGTTGAATACGAAATAGCACCAGAAAATTCCGTAGTCGCGCCAGCGGTCTTTCCAGTAGACCCACCGAAGAGCAAGATACTCATCAGCTATAGTCATGGAGCAGTACTCGCAGGCAGAGGTGGCGTTTGGATTGTACACTTGGCCTCCGGCGGCTTCGACATACTTCTGCATGTATTGTCCACAGGTGTAGTTGGATGGGGGGTCGAAAACACTGAGTTCGGAAGTACTGCACTCCACTGGGCGACCATGGAGGATTGAACTACCGACACCGGCCGTGTAGTACGTGAAAGGGGAGACACGGTACATGAAAATCCAGAATCCGGGTAGGTCTCCGGGTGGTTGCAGCATACCATTGAAGATGAACGCAAATGCGAACATGAGAATGGCAAATATGCCCGCCACCGGTGCCTGGGGGATTGCGGCTATCACGAAGTGAGCCATGCTGGCCACATACAGATAGAATTGGACGATGTAGAGAAGGGCAAGGACGTGTCGCTCGGCATCTTGACCTGTGCCCATCACAGCCCAGTAAAACGATGCCCAAACACAAACCCCCAAAACAAAGTGGTAGGGGATTTCGACAAAGATGTTTGAGAGAATGAATACTTTCCACGAGTAGACCCGGGATGGCCGTTCCCGGACTTCATATAGCGCCCGCTGCGCAACGAATCTGGGCGTGATCTGATTGACGAGGGTCGTGAAAACCGTGGCCAGGAGGAAGACACTGAAGAGAGCACACTGGAACCCCTGTTCGGTGTTGTTCGCTTTATAAAAGGAGAAACCGATGAACAATCCACACGCTATACCCAACGAGTACTTTGCAAACACATATTCCGGTTGGCGGTAGTACTGCTGAAACGCTCGCTTCATGACGTGGTAGAGTTGGCTGGTGAAAGGCATGGCAAATTCCATATTGTTGCTATCGCCATCCCGGGCTCGTGGCTCGGGCTGTTGTTGTGGATCCTGAAGACGTTCGAGCTCTGCGAGGACCTCCTTGCGCTCAGGGCTATCGTTCCATCTCTGAACCCAGTCAATGCCTTCCGATGCTTCCCCGGCGACAGTCTCAAGAATGTACTCCGCCGGATTTTCCATGTCCCCGCAGGGCCTAGCACCGCAGCGCTCAAAGTAATCCAAAAGTATGTGGGATTGGTCTCCAATATCACCAAAGTAGACAGTTTTGCCTCCTTTAGCTAGGAACAATAAGCGATCGAAGGTCTGGAACAGCAGGGCACTCGGTTGGTGGATGGTGGCAAGGACTGCCTGACCGTGATCGGCAAGCCTTCTCAGGAGCGAGCAGATTGTCCAGGAACTTTGTGAGTCTAGACCGCTGGTCGGCTCGTCGAGGAAGATCAACAATGTCGGTTTCGCAGCAAGCTCGACACCAATACTCAGCAACTTCCTCTGCTCCACGTTCAGGCCCTCTCCCAAAGAGCCCACAACTGCCTCCGCAAAGTCTTGCATGTGTAGAACTTTGATAATCTCTTCGACATATTCGTACTTCTCCTTTTCAGAAACCGATGCGGGCTGACGGAGCATAGCACTGAAGCGGAGGGCCTCGCGTACAGTAGTTGTCTCCATATGAAGATCTTGCTGCTGTACATACCCTGTTTCCCGTGGGAAATTGGCTTGCAAAGCTCTTCCATTCACCAAAACATCACCGGTAACAACACCAATAGATACCCTCTGGGCGAGGACATCTAAAAGCGTTGTTTTTCCCGCCCCAGAAACTCCCATCAACGCGGTTAAGGTGCCTGGCTTAACCCATCCATTCACATTATCGAGGAGTCGCCGGGTACCATCTTTGACGGGTATATCATAGTTGAGACCCTTCCATGAAAGGATGTCTGTTTGCTGAGGCAAATTAATAGCATCCACTTGGTTCTGCACTTCGGGCTTGTCTGGGGGCGCTTCTCCGTCTTCGATTCCATCGGAGGATAGCAGGTATTGCGGAACATGACCAGACCGGAAAACCAAGGTTTCTGCTTTTGATGTCTCACCCGAGTTGTATTCCGAGAGAAACAAATAGAGACCGGTGAATAATACCAGGTAGGCGACGAGAATTCCGTAATTCCGCCATACATGGCTGTAGTAGTATTGGTAATTCTGCTCCACATAAGCGTCCCCGGAGACGAACCGCTCTCCTGCAACGGCACCCACGGTTGAACAGATGAAGGATGAGCCAACAGCATAGCTTGGGATCACCGATGCGCATTCAAAGTTCCTGCCATGGAACTCATTCGCTAACAGGGCCTCATACACATAGTAGATTGGGTTAACCCAGCGGATCCATGAAAGCCACGGGTGCATGTATGGTTGCGGTAACACGAAGCCAGTGTATACCACAATGCATAAGATACAAACGCCAGCCATCGCCATTGCCTGCGCGCTTGTCCTTGTAGCTGCAGCTAAGCTACGGAAAATTCCGGACATCGTCAAGACAGAAGTCAACAGAAACATATAGCAAATGAAGAACTGCGATGGTTCTCGTCGGAGGTTGGACATCAGATAAAGAATCACACAAAAGAGAGTACCCCGTGTGAATTTGATAGGCAGATCCATGATCCAACTGGCCAAGGCCTCAGCGAAGGGATGCACAAACGCATAACCCGCTTGCTTCACAGCAATTGGCCGCTGGCTATATAGCTGAATAATCTCATTGAGGGCGATCAAGGCATTGAAAAGCACAGCGAAGTATAGCACAGCCCCTTTCTGGAAAAATGTGGCAGTGGTGGGCGCAGAATTGAAAAAAATAGAGCCGATCACCAATGCGAGAATGGGTTGTGTCACTACCGTAACGATTACGGTCGGTAGGTCGTTCCGTAGTCGCTGAAAAGCCCGGCGCAGGCAGAGGCGGACTTGCATCGGAACAGAGAGAAGATATGGGCTGCGTGGCCGAGTATGGCGGGCCTGCTGCTCTTCATGATTGGCCTTGAATGCTTTGGCCTCGTCTGAATCCGGTGGATGAGCGCGTTGGTACTCCTCTATCTGACCGCAGAGCTCCTGATACTCGGGACTACGCTTCCAATATTCCTCGAACTCCTTCGCCGTGCGTGGTACTTTGTCGACCATGTCAGGACGGGCCTTTCGTTCGCCTGGGTTGGTAACTGAAGTCAGGAAGTCGCCGCTGACTTGGCGATCTGGTAATTCCCAGCCCATTTCTTCGAAGTAACGTACTGCACGATCGCGGCGACCGAAGTAGATCTGGCGACCTTCGTAGAGGACGACGACTTTGTCGACGAGATCGTACATCGACTGAGAAGCTTGATATGCAGCGATAGCATGACACGATCGACCCATGTCGGCAGAAAGACGTAATGCCCTGACAAATTTAAGAGCAGACGACGCATCGAGCCCTCGTGTGCTGTTATCCCAAGCTCCGATACGACACCTTGAGACGAACATCTCGGCGATACTGACCCTCTTCCTCTCACCACCGCTAACTCCTCGCACAAAATTGTCCCCTACCTTGGTGTGATAGGTATGTGAGAGGCCAAACACAGCCAAGACAACCTGAGTGAGGGTTTCAACATATTCGGAGCGTGTCAAGCCTTCAATTCGTTTCTGGGGGGTCCGCGCATGCGCTGCGAATGAAAGCGTTTGACCAACGGTAAGGTGTGGAAAGTGTTGATCGACTTCCTTGTTGTAAGCCACCTCTCCACGGTGGTGTTTGATCATATCCTCATATTCGATGCCTTGGTAATGAATAGTACTCTGAGGTTCGAGCGTCAGACCACCCAGGTGGCCACAAAGGGTTTTCAGGAACGTTGTACATCCACTTCCAGGGCGGCCAAGAACGAGCAGAAGCTCTCCACTTTGGAGGAAGCCATCGAAACTATGGAGAATCTGCCTTGATGGAGGGGAGGCTCGTCTCGAAAGCGCATGCGCGGCAGCGCGGAAGGGAGCTGCCAACTGCGTAGCAATAGTCTTCTGGATCTGTAATGCTGAGCCTGATCCAGACACGCAAAGATTAGAAAAAACGACACCCTGCGTCTGCTGTACAATGCCTGACTGATCCAGGGCCGTTAGGACGAGTTTTGCCCAGAGACGTTGATCGAACGCCGGATTGGCGGGATCCAAACGGGGGTCATCCTTTTCAATGATCGTAGCAGCTTGGGAAATCCGTCGACCAGTTCGGGTAGAGGCGATTCGTGTCAGATTGTGAAGCTCTTGCTCCTCCTCGTCCGACGATGGGGTCTGCTCCTTATCCGATGGATACGGGTCGTGAGCGCTGGCGTCCTTTTCGTCCATGGTGCCAGTCAATGAGAGTTCCTAGATAGACCCGTTTCGAGAGCCTTCAGGTCACCAAGCGAGAGGAAAACTGGCAACGAGGGAGAGGCGGATTTCCGCCAGAGATAAGGGTTGAACAGAAGGTCCCGTATGTATGGGATACACCTAATCAATAAAGCCCACAGGGCAAACTATAGAAGGGCCAATTTCGAGTGTTAATGTTAGGAAGCGATCGCCCCGCTTCGTGTCCAGCCATTTTTCGATAATAAATTAGATCTCACTCCCTTCATCCGCATTAGTGCACACTTATGCCTTGTTTCTAGAATTATTTCAGCCATCAGCCATGTCTATTCCGTCAAGCACGGCCGGGCGGCCTGCTCCTTTGGGATGCATGATCTAGGCGGCCCTAACTGCGGCCTGCAGCAGCTAGCGCAACAATAAGCCCCAACTAGAGCGTGGATTGATCAGCGCTATTATTACACATAGTCGATCGCTTCAGGCCACACCGGGTGGACCACCTTCAGCCTTGTCATTGACGATTCTGACTGGCTGAATTCAAAATGCCATTGTTCTTAGCATCTTAATGTGTGTCGTTGCTGGACTGTATGTGGCGAGGCTGTCGACGGAGACTTGTGGCACGTACGTAGCTGCATTTGTGTGGAGCTGGACACTGAATCTCAGCGTTGGACCTTAAGAAAGACCTAGCCGGAAGATGGAGGTGATGATCCCGTCGAGAATGCATGAAGCGGCTGTAGGTTTACTCCGTTAGGCCAAACAGTCATTGAAGGAGGGTCCGGAAAAACTGCTACTCGCCTGTTTTGCCTGCTCGGGCGGAATTACGTGACTGATGGAAGGGACCAGCAAAAGCAACCCAGCCATAAAACACGTCAACCTGCGACTTCCTATAAATGCCCTATCCCGGAACTTGTTCTATGGCCTACTATAATGAGAGCAGGGAAGGGAAATATTGACGGGACGCGACGCCCAAACCACCGACTCGGTCACGGCTGATCGGCCCTCCGACGCGCCGGTGATCAACTATCAATCCCGGATCTGGTATCCATTTGGGCTCAAACTCAGCACCAAAGATACTCCGTGGCTCTGGGTTCGCCGGGAAATCTGAAGGGCAACCATGCTAGCACTTCAGTGTGGATACGGACCATCGTGGATTCGAGAATGCCGCCCCACGCATGAGAGACTGAGCAACAAGCACCTTGCGGTGAAGCTTACATTTCAGAAGACTGCACTGTGTACGGAGACTCCGTAAATTATCTCCTTTGTTCGATCTCCAACTCTCCTTACTGCATGTTGTTGCTTGTTCCGTAAATTGCTTCCGGGCGATTGTGACGTGTCTACTCCGTAACCCGTAGCAATCAAAGTATGATGATGTCTCTTCTTCTGAAACGAAGAATGAATAGCATTTGTTCCCTTTGCAGCCGATTATGCCAGGAAACAGTTGCTTATTGTCTAGTAACGTTCATTGGAGGTGGCTGGAGGCGAGGAACTGACTCCCCTGTTCACGACGCTCGGATGGAGGAAGGATTACAGCCATCGAAGAGTTGTTACTGCTCATCCCGCAACCGAAGTCTTTCCAAAGAGAGCAAAGTGTGTCAATCCAAGAACCTTTTAGCCTCAAGGGTGTCTTGAGTCCAAAGGGTGTCTTGGTAGACAGTAAAATTTAACGTGGCGGACTCGAACTCGAACATGTGGGCCTTCGCACATGTAGCGCTGCTGTATCTGTTGCTTGTTACTGGAGCTTAGCATTTCCCAGACATCACATCGCAGATCTCAGGCAGCAGGCAGCGTATGCACTGGGCCCGCAACACAGGGCTCTTCAGCTTGATGGGGTGATTCCGAGCCATGCTAGAGATTAGCATCGCAAGCTTTACTGAACGGGGCTATGATCGTAATCTGACACGCATAGAGATGTTGCAGTAGAGCGATCGCTTGGCTTTAAAATGTCTCAGTAAGGAGTAGAAGAAAAGGAAGTATCTATGAATCGTTCAGGTGTATAAGGCTTTGTGCAGAATGGCCGGCACCGAAGGGCTCTGAGATTGAGTAGCTGCCACGGTGACACAAAGGTGGGTTTTAAAGTTCAGAGCAGGACCAGAGCCCGACATGATACGCAAGTTAAATCAGCGTTGTGGGATTTATGGTAGACAAGAAATCCTGACAGCTCTTTCCGACAGGTTAGCCATATAGACAGATGCAGCCAAGGCAACCGCAACGCCGGAAATATTCCAGAAGGTATATCGCACAAAAAACAAGCAATACCAGCCACTTAGTAAAAGGCATGCCTAATCTTTTGAAGTCCCAGATGAATTCACAAGAGAGTCAAATGTACTCCGTACTGTAGAAACAGTTCCATCCACCTCGATATCACAAACAAACAAAACAAACAAACACACCTCCCCGTACTCCCCCAGCCCACCCAATCCAGTAAGCGGTCAAGCCCACCAGCACCTCGCACCATAAAAAAAAACCCACGACAGCTAAGCTTGACTTACCTTCTCTTCTTCTCCCCTAAGCGCCATCCCCACCAATGCTGCGTTTCTTTGCTACACACGACAAGAAGACCTCCAGGTCTTCCTGTCCTCGGCTCTGATTTCCCCTCCCCGGGGAAATCACCCGAAACCCCCTTGCAAATGAGAAATTCGGAGGAATCTTCACCCTATGCACCCGCCATTTGGAAAATGATTCATTTTCCAAATGGCCGGTACTGCCCTCAAGGGCCTGGTGTGACATCCTTGCACACACCTGCAATTGGCATCAGAAACATCGGGGGAGGAAGGGAAGGGAATGTAAGGGTTCGCTCTTGCATTTCTTTTCTTTTTCTCTTTTTCCCCATGGGAGAGTCGTTGCGAAGATTGTGTGTGCACTCGGCAACTTTTGACCGGGTGTGCGACACTTTAGTGCAATACGCAGCATGCCGTTTCCTGTCCTCCCCTCGCTCACTACCCTTATGGGGGTGGGTTAGGGGAGGATGGGATTGGTATCATTCGATTCCGATTATTCTGGTGGGGGTGGCGCTTCACTTCTTTTTTTTCTGAGGTTAGTTGGATTATCTATCTTTATGAAATCTTGTGTCTTCGCGGTTGGAGAACTGGAAAGGACTTTGTTTTTCCCTGGCTAATTGTTGGGTTTGGGGACCTGTATGGGTCCCTTTTTTAGGTTCTTGATGGCCTAGGGGGTTGGGGATATACTGTATGGTTGAGGAGGAAGAGCTATGTTAGAGGCTTGTGTTTAAGCTGCTATTGCAGGATAGTTATATATGTCTGTTGAGAATGCAGCTTCATTGCACAAATCCACTGCTTCGTACTTCATATATGACATGTAGAGAGACTGGACAGAATTATTGTAACCAATTGGACTTTGAACACGTTGGTCGCTTAGCATCTAGCTGGATATTATAGAAACAAAAATGAACACAGGCCCCCGAGAACATTCAGGATATTTTCCGAACATTATTAGAAGTTGAAAAGAAAAGAAAGAGAAATCGTTGCCTCCATGTTGCTCCCACTCGTCATTATGATCTCGCATGTCCACCTACTCCTCATCGCCAATCTAGACATTATAAGTCAGTATAACTTTCAATAAAACTAAATGAGGAATCATCGTACCTTAGGAGCCAGGTAGAATCTCAGATGACCGCTACCAAGGCCATACTCAACGAGGAGCGGCACCTCCTGCGACAGGCACAGGGTGACCTTGTTCGACAGGTTGGTAGCCTTGCAGAAGTTGACGAGGTACTTGAGGGAGAAGGTGAGGGCGACGGGTTCGGTGAGGGAGATGGAGACGTTCTGTGCGGGGTTCTCGACGTTGGTGTGCTGACGGACGGTGACGGAGCCACTGCCAATGTCACCCTGGCAGGAGAACTTGACACCCTCCTTCGTGGCCTCAATGACAACTGGGAGAGGAATTAGTCGCGAATCAAACCCATTGCCAATGGAAAGAACAACATACCGGACTCAGAGAGAGCATTCAGATCCCTGCAGATACGCTGGAACTCTGCTGCCGGCATCTCTACCGTAGCAGCGTACTCTGTCTCCGGGATGGCCAGGTGCTCCTGGTCAATGTCCATCAACTTGATATCATACTCGCTAAGTCTATCCGTCTCGGCACTTTCGAACATCAGGTTGACGGCATCGGGAGAGTCCTCAGCCTTGAGAGTGAGTATGTCTTCGTTTTGGGCGGCACGCAGGACCTTGGTCAGGGAGACCAGGTTGATACCGAGGGCAATGTTACGGTCGCAACGGTAGGGGGAGAATCCCTCGGCCTTGAGCATCATGGAGACGAGAGCGACATGGGAGTTGTCCATGGCCTGAAGTGAGATACCGGAGTCATTGCAGTCGAAGTTGCAGTCTTGGACCAGGTCCTTGATGGCGTCGACGACCTGAAGAAACCGAATGTCAGCAATCAAGCAATGACATGCAACAGTATGATCGAGAGCTACTCACACGCTTCAGGAGACTGGCTTGTTCTAGGCGAGCTTCAAGCACTGAAATAGTTGTTAGCATACAATCTTGAACCAGTTGAAGCTTGTGACGCTCACTTTTGATGTGATGGTATGTGAGTACAGTGAAAAGCTAATGAGAAGGAGAAGAGGGAGATGAGGAGAGGCTGAGCTAAGTAGGTGGTAGTTAGCAGGTGAAAGCAGGATCGTGAAGAATGAAAGTCGTAAAGAACTGACAGAAGGAATTGAGTGCGTAGGAAGGATAGCGGCGTGTCTTTCAGGTTGGGGTGAATTTATTGAGGGACCTGAAAGTGCAGCGAATTCGCGTTCGAGGGTTTCATTAGTGGGGAGGCACGCGTCCCAGTCGCGTCATTCCTTAGGCTGATATCACCCTTTGGGGTTAGTCTGCTGCTGCCTGAGGCTGGGCTATACCGCACCCGTCACAAAGAAGCGTCACTACCACTTGTGACAAATCCTGCAACTGAAACATCTCTATGGAGTATAGAATGTTATTTCTGTGTAGCCAGTGGCCTACAGGGTGGTGAAGTATGCTTTCTGCAAGGCAGGCAGTACTGAAACAGTGCGTGCACTATTTATCCAAGCATACCACGCTGCACAGTCTGCAGGCCTTGAGTATTATTGATCAGAGAACGATGCTTAACAGTTTTGAGGTCTCAATGAGAATGATATAGGCGTAGGACTGACCACCAAACACACTATTAATCCTTGTAGCCGCCAAAAGTCATAATAATTCACTTCTCAGTCACGAGGAGAACTCAGCAATGCATCACGTCACAACTACTAGGATCATGCTATATATTACTAGCCCTGCAATATGACCAGGGTACTGCAGGGGAGTAGTTGATATATGGATATTCAATCAATTGGTCTTGAGTGAGGGACAGGTGGAGAAAAGCGGAATATGGATTCCTTATGACAGTCCTCTTCCGCGGTAATGGCTGGATTACAAATGCAATCAGTATGGGGATGATGACAGGCATTTGAACAACCCAGAGGGTGATGGTACATACATCACAAATTACTGAGCCATAGAATCAGTATAAATGGCGGGTCCAGCTGTTAACTTGTCCGAACGATCCATTTTCTCCTTCTTATAGTAACAGTGGAGTAACATCCAACGCAAACCTATTCTAAATATGACCACAGTATTCATGTCAGTCGCTCATCCAAACACCAAAAGCACTTTGGTAGTATACGTGCAACGGAAGAAGCTCATACAGCTACAGAACAGGAGCCAGCGGCTACATCGGCGGCGACCTTCTATCAGTACTTGTATCTAAGTACCCAGACCTGCACTACCGCTTACTGGTCCGAAGCCGCGACAGTGGGCAGAAGATCAAAGCACAATATCCTACTGTCGAGATTATACACGGTGGACTCGATGATTCAGAAACGCTGGCAGCAGAAAGTGCTAGGGCCGATATCATCATCCGTTAGTGGACGCATCCATTCATTGTCACATATTTTCCACCATAGAGGAAGAGTACCTGCTGACACCACCGGTCTAAAAGACACAGCTGATGCTGCTGACCACCTCGGTGCAGCTAAGGCAATAGCTCAGGGTGCTCTAGAAGGGCACACCGAAGAACGCCCTGTCTATTGGTTACATACCAGTGGTGCCGGGATCTTCTCATTCTCAGACACTGAGAACAAGGTATATGGGGAGAAAGGCGAGAAGATCTATGATGATGTGCAAGACATCCAAGAGATCGTCACTTTCCCTGACCATGCGTTCCACCGAGATGTGGATAAAGCGGTGTTGGAGGCTGGATCGGTGCGTCCGGGAGTCCTCAAGACTGCTATCGTATCCCCGGTTACTGTTTACGGTAGGCTTCAATAACGACCAACACAGAAGAGAATGGAGATAACTAATTGGCTGCTGTGCCTTAGGTCGTGGCCGAGGACCCTGCTCCCAACGCAGCAGACAGATATACGAGCTAGCCAAACTGACCATCCAACGCCAGAAAGTTCCCATCATCGGCCGGGGCCTTTCATTCGCGACCGATATTCACATTCAAGATTTGACTAGTTTATATTTCATTCTTTTCGAAAAGGCCCTTTCAAAACAAGATGATGGGCTTTGGGGTCCGGAGGCATACTACCTCAGTGAGAATGGGGAGCATTGCTGGGGTGAGCTAGCCCGTTCGATTGGACAAATCTGTGTAGCGGAAGGATTCATCCCAAACGCCGAAGAGGAGGCTTTTGGCTTTGAGGACGCTCGGAAATGGGCAGGCTATGAGGCTGCTAGTTGGGGGTTAAATGTGCGGTGTCGGGCCAGTCGTGCTCCTCAATTGCTGGGGTGGCAGCCGTCTGCGCCATCGCTGGAATCCGAGCTTCGGGATATTGTGAAAGGGGAATATCGCCGTCTGCAGGAGGCGGAAAGCAGTGCATGAGGTTCTGTTAAGATGTTGGTTATGAATTGATACAAGTGGATTGCAAAGAATTGGCCGACTTACATTCGGGCCATAGTAACTGAAGATTGAGGTTCCTTCAGTGGTACTACGCAAATCACACAATCTATACCATCAAATACACCTAATTCAACGGAGCAAGACATCATTCTTCAGACATAATCGAATACTGTCTCAATACCAATAATAACGCTAGAATGTAGGATATGTACACAAGGCTGATGATACAGAACAAACGAGATCAAGCGAAAGCCGCCAGCATTGCTTCGGCAAGCATAGTGAGTATACAGGAAGACGAAGGGACGAGTCAAGAAAAAAGTACATGATATACAGTATCAACGATTGTAAGGCCCAAGGGTGTCCGCCAGGGGAAAGAGGTAATAATAAGTAACCGGGCTGAGATAGAATGCAAAACTGCCTTAACGCCGCTGACACCGGACCGCTCTATACATTTCTGGGTATCAATCTGCAAAGGTTGCTAGGAAGAGTCGGCTTCCAGCTCGAGGTAGAGTAAAGCTTAGGTGATAATATGCGGGGAGGAGGAAGGGAAAAGGAATTCGGGTATCGAGGTGGCGGTAGAGGAATAGGGTTGGAGGAATGCCGCCGAATGATGGCGGAATCAGATGCTTGTGACACGTTTCGCAGCTATCGTGGTACGAGGTCGTTGCTTGATTACCATTTCTAGCTCCTTGAGCATGTTTGTATTGGCATCAGTGCGCTCCCGAGCGGCTGCTTGTCGTGCTCTATCTTCCTTGACTCGCGCGATTCGTTCTTCTCGGGTTAATGACATCCTCTTGTTCCGAGCCGGAAGAGCTACAGCTTCAAAAATTTCCTCCTCATCATCTAGTGTATGAACGATGCTGGGATCTGTGTTTTCGCCAGTCAACGCTCGAAGGGCGTCTGCAGGGCTGCCCTCGACTGCAGTAGAGCCCCCAAGGCTGGGTGTGGGTGACAGGGGTGTTTTCAAAAAGCTCGAGGGTCGCGAAAATTCCGGATTTGCGGGTTTTTCCAAACTACTCATCAATGCGGATTTGCCCGACTCCCACTCCTGGAGAAGGCTTCTAATGTCCGCTCCAATCGATTCATACTGGGGCATGAGGCTCGCCTCGAATCCACCAGCATCCGGTCGCTCGAGATTAGAGCTAGATGCCTCCTTGAGGATATGCATCTTTGCGTGAAGCGCACGAATTCCCTGGGAGAGCGAATTGATGTTTCGGTATTGTGCACGGAGATTGTCCTTGTTGGGCGAAGCTGTTGGTAGCGGAGAAGGCGGGATGACATCACCTGGCACGATGATTAGCTCTGGCGTGGATTCTGTTGAGGAGTGGTACTTACGATCGTCCTCGTTGAGGATGTTGGTCATCTTGTGGATGTTCTCGCCGGTCACATGGGCCAGGTCCCGCATCTGCTCAACTGCCATGGTCCATCTAGCAATGTCGGACCCGCCGCCATCCGCACCGAGCGCGAGAAGACAACAGAGGATGCTCTTTCTCACGATGTAAAGCCTTCCGAAAAGTGTGCGAAGGGCGCGTAGAGAGTACTGATCTTCGGTGGCTCGCTCATCGAACGCTGCCTGGGCCTCCATAAGCTCCTCCTCTGATATATCGTAGATATCGTAATACTTGGCGAGGTTGGTGGCATCGGTAAGTGGGCGTAGGGTATGTTGTGCCCGGATGTACTGGCCTAGCATGAGATAGAACGACTCCGACACAGTTCGGCGCAGTCTCAGACATCGTCGCGTTTGCGTCTGATCTTCGAGTCGGCTTACTGGGGGCAACGGTGTGCTTCTACTCGATGATTAGTGACCTTTTGTCAGCTAAGCTAGAAGTCAGAGCAACTTACATGCGGTAGCCTCTTGAGACCAGCTCAACTTCCTGTATGAATACAACCGATGCGGAAGCGGCAGAGTCAAACCCTTGAGCGTTGCTGATAAAAGTCACAGCTGCGTCAACAGCTTGATGACGCAAATATTTCAGCCACTGTCGCTTGGCGAATGCATAAAACAGAACCCCAATTACAGGCACGAGAACCAACAAAACTCCGACTTTCCGAGGGTTAAGACCAGACGAGGTTCGAGACCGGCTCCAATGTAACAACCAAGCGACGGAGAAAGAAGTCGAGGCCGTGACAACAGCACCTTGTATGCCAAACGTGGTGGAGATAGACGGAAGGTCTGCTGGAAGAGCCGTAGACATCACATCTGCAGCTGATGTGTAAGAGGGCGCAGAGTGTTCGTTCAGCAGCTGAGACGCAACGATGACATAGCCGAACTGTTCCAGGAATCTTTCGTTGTCGCTTCGTCCAACGCGGGAGTTCAGAGCAGACTGGGCAGAGAGCTTCGTCAGTATTGACCGGAGCCAAGGCAATAGGTGGGGTGTTCATACCGTGCAGACATCATAGAGTCGACCCAGAGCTGCCCGCTGTCGCGAGACTTTCCGTTCAAGGGGCTTGGGTAGTTTATTCCGAATACGCTCCTGGAACTTTGAAACTCCTCGTGGGGCAAAATCCGCAGCCGTGGAATCGGAGAAATCATCGCTATGGTCTGTCTCCTTGACAGGCCAGTTTGGGTCGTGCTCGCCTTCCCCTGACGTATGACCAGATAAGACTTTGTAATTCCCCCAACATATGAACCGGGATAACTCACCCTGGAGGTAGTCCGCCAAAGGCGAGTTCTCATAGACGAGTGATTCCATGACTAGTGAACATTCCGTAATGGTGGCGATGAGAGAGGAGTCGGGGAGCAACACAGATGCTGTAATGCTAGGAAGGGGAAACAAGGATCAAGGCGGGAAAGGTCGAGCAATGGAGTTGAGACAGGTGTAAGATTCAAGCGCGTTCAGTTGCGAATCATCGCAAACCCATCTCCGCGACAGTCCAATGGGGCGCGTGGGAAAGTCGGACTCAAGGAGGGAGAGGGCAATGAAGTGGAGGAGCGAGTTAGTAGTATCGAATGGGAACGGGGGGGAAGAAGGGCGACGAGCTAAAGGCTAAAGCAAGTTGACTAGTTGTTGGAAATCCGAGGCGCGGCGGGTTGTAAGGGAGGGCGAGTGGATACGCAAGAGGAGTTATAGTAAGCGGGTTTAAGGCCGGCGCAGGATATACATAGCAATCTACCCCTGGCAGATGGAGACACTCTGGGTTGAGGAACAAAGAGGAAGCCCGAACGACGGTGCCTGTGCAGCGGCCACGTTGAAGATCAGACCATGTGTGTGTCTGGGGAACTGGATTGCTTGCGCTTTTCTCTTTTGTCTGCTCGAATCGGAGCTGGCGCTGCTCCGACGCCCGCCCGGCCTTGTCCGTTTCCTTTTTCTCTCTTTACCCTACAAACCAGAAATCCCTAACTAAGAATAGGCGCCCCCCACCGTTTCGGTGGGCTTTTTTTCCCCTTGTGCGAATCAATCGCCTCGATTCAATCTGGCCGATTATTCCTACAGGGCACTGCTAATCTCTTTTTCCATCCAGTGAGCGCTCGCGATGGGTTACACCCCCAGGCTTTCTCAACGGACTCAAACGGTGATCACACAAGTTAGTTTGCGAGGGGATGATGATCGCAAGTCTGTGCTTTGACTTTTCCCCTCATCAACCAAAACTTGGGTGGAACTGACGTCTTGTGAACTACGGCAGACCGAGGTTTCAGCATCGAGCATATGTTGGAGCCCGCGTGGGATCTCGGATGTCACCATGATTACCCTCGGGGTACACATTCAGACGGCTTGTTCAATGTTGCTCGGATTTGAGGCAGCCTCGGAGCATGGCTCTTTATGGCTAATACCAAGAACTCAAACATTGGCATAGGATTTATTGATGCTGCATTGAGGTTGTTTTAAGTGGCTCATTACTTTTCAACGACAGACACGCCTATTCATCATCACTACAGACTGGCACTGGATCTCGAGAGAAAATGACAAGGTAAGCCAGGGGCGGCAAACTCGTCTCTCACTGCAGCCTACTGCACATTGCCACATATATCTTTTCAACTTCCATGTCTCCTTGCCATCTGCACATGCGCCGTGCCTAATGAGGATCCTGGTCGGACCCTACAGCATACAGGGGGCAATTTCGCTGTGGCGTAAGTAGTTATATGCAGCTTTACGTCTCCTTGCACTATCAATTTCGCTCTCTTCCCCATCGGGATTATAATGCTCCGTAGATTAAAAATCTACTATTCTGTACATGGGGATGTTAAACGAATACGAGGGGATGCTGTTTGTGCAGCAACAATTTATTCAGTAGTTACTCCTCAGTGGACACCGTTGGGGCTTTGTATGTGATCGACATCTAACCTAAAAGAGACTAAAACAGTATTCTAGAAAAGTAGTCGGTAGTCGCATCGGACCATGAAGAATGTGGAGGACTACGTTAAGTAGCACCCACAGCGAGTCACCTAGTGAAGGATGTTCAATGACCTTGGCCAGGCAGGAGCAACTGTGATTGAAGGTGTCTCGATTTGCCATCCATTATGGCTGCCTAAGGTGTCAACCCCCTTCCCGTTGCACGGGCAACGCAGCGTCAACATCGCGTCTCCATACCTCAGACCCATCCTCGACCAAACTTTCTATGACTTAGCCTCGATCTCGCCCCCGAAGCTTGACAGGTCATCCCATCATATAACTTGAAGGCCTTCTTCTACTTTTAATGTCGACTGAATATTAACTCCTATCCGACGACTGAACCTGACACGCCATACAGTAGTCGGGAAAGTTATTTACGAGTTATCCCCATGGAATAGAGGCACTGCCTAAACCCTCAAGACTACTTTAGAAGGATTCAACTTGCATTATTCTTAATATGTCCGGCTTTCTGTACGAAGCCACGACCCCTTGCCCTTCAAGGACGAGCACTTCAATCTTCAGCCGGGGCAGCAACAGAAGCTCGTCCGACAGCATGTGGGAAGATAGTTTGGGCAACTGGGACGATACTGCTAACATCGAGTTCACGACCGAAATTGAACAGTCTGTACTTACGGGGGTCAAGCCCAGAAGACGGACCAAGACAAGTACATCCTTTGCTATTCACGAAGACCATGGAGAGAATCCTACACAGCCGGCATACAAGCCGAAGCGGGATTCGAGCATAGCAGCACCGACCACGAGCCGCAAAACATCCTTACTTGCGCAGCCAGCTCAGAGATTTCGTCCCAAAATCAGCTTCGGCCCGAGCCCAGACACGCAGTCGCGTCAAGAAGGATTAGCTCACAAGTCAACAAGTAAGAGAACGGACACAGAGAAAAACAACGCGCTTTTGATGCGCATCAATGGAGCAGATGGCCAGGAGAAGGCTAAAAAAAGCCTGAAGACGGATGTACGCCGTAACACGGTTTATATTCCCCCGGATGACGGTACAGTGGCCAGTGTATTTATGGGTCTCTTCAGCCCGCCCAAGTCGGACAATTTGGACAAGTGTATCAATGAAGATACCCAAGTCAACAGCTTGGAGTCACAGATTGCTAAGAAACGACAAGCCAAACGATCTCTCGCATCGTCTGCCCAACGGGCTCCATTGAAGCCAAGCTCTAAAGTAATGCAGGAGTCCTGCATTCATCACGACATTGCCGGGAAGAATGGCGGAAAGGAGAATGTGCCTCCAGGAACAGTTATCGCTGAAGGCAAGAAAATACATCAGGCCCTGAAAGCCAAGGAGGATTCAGGAAACCGCCTAAATGCTCCTCCGATGGCAGCTAGAAGAGCTGGTGCTACAAATGCCTCTGCAAAGCCTACATCCAAGCCTCTATCTACCAAGACGAGCAACACTCAGCAGAGGAGCAATGTACTGAGCAACAGCCAAAACACCACTAAAGCACGACAGAACAAATCTGAACACAATAGCACCATGAAGCCAAGTTTGACATCAGACTACAACCGAAACGCTTCTATGCGAACCTCAAATCTATCTACGTCACAGAAGCCATCAAAAACAAGCATAGTATCCAAATCGACTACATCGCGTAACAACACGAAGCCTATTGCGAAGGATTTTCCAGTTATTTCAGACAACATCACAAACCCGGCACTGTACGAAGAGAATTGGCTCTCGCACCAGGAAGTGGCAATAACACAGTTGGTCAATGAAATGTTCCAATGTACTTATGAGGAGCCAGAAATCGACAACCACGCCATGCTTCGACATGAGCTCCTCACTCTGTACCAGGGAGCATCTTTCGCACACCTCCACAAACGTCTTCAAGCATCATTGTTATACGGCGCTTTGAGCATACCAAAAGACGTGCTCACGCGCAGTAGCCGTCTTTACAACGATCTGGGCTTGAAACGAAAGTTCTTGGATATTTGGACCAAGACCTACGACTTACGAGCATTGCGAGCCGCGGTGGAAGCAATCATTGGAAGGAAGATACCCATCTCTAAGTTGGCTCATGGAGGCGATGCCTCGGATAATGACAAGGCGATGAAACGAAAGATGGAAGCATTCCTGGAAGCATTCTTGTTACGAAACCAGGATATTGACCCTCAAGAAAAGATCGCTGTGGGAGAGAATGGCGGTGTAGCTGGCCAGGCATACCGTCGGACTGTTCTTCGAAGCATAATGATGGTTGTCCTTCTGGACAAAGCGAGAATGTGCCATGGGACAGCCGTTCCGCGACGCCTTTTCCTCTCTTCGTCGCCTGTCAAGTCCTCTGGTGCGGTGCTCCAGGCACTGGGTCGGTTCCTACTTCCATCGTGCGGAGACATCATCAAAGCATTGAGCCACTTGGAGTGCGAATTGAGTTTTGAGCAGCATCCATTGGAAGAATATGACTACCGGGTTGACAACATTGCTGTAGATCTCCGGGACGGTGTGAGGTTGACAAGGATTGTGGAATTGTTATTCTATCGTTCAACCTCATCCGGTGAAGTGTCGAACGGAAGTTTGCCGCTTTCGAGTCATCTGAAGTTCCCATGCAGGAGCCGCACGGTAAAGCTTTTTAACATCCAAATTGCCTTGGATGCGCTGGCTTCTGCCCAAGAGACAAGGAAGCTCGCGAAAGACATACGCGCAGAAGATATCGTCGACGGACATCGCGAGAAGACTATTGCGTTGTTGTGGAAGCTGGTCAGCACATGGGGCCTTGCTGGGCTAGTAGACTGGGGGGACGTCAAAAAGGAGATTGAAAGACTGAGGCAGAAAATTGCTTTCCAGGCTGATGATGATGGCATGCCATTGAACGGGAATGATGAGAGCGACGAACCAACCTTGCTGCTCAAGCAATGGGCATCTACCCTTGCACATCTGAAGGGCGTACCGGTTGACAACCTGAGCACAAGCTTCAGCGATGGCAAGGTATACGAAAGTATCGTTGACGAATACCACGGATATCTCGTGGAGCATGCCGAGGATCATAGCAGAACAGCATCTCTAGAATCGCGTCTGCGGGCATTGGGATGCAGTGCAGAATTCGGTGAGTTTACCAATGACATTACTCCCTCCATAGCGACTAACATAGACCAGCCAAACTTGTGTCTCCCTCTTCAAAGACTCATATCGTCGACAGCGACTTTACAATCGGAGCACTCGCGTTCCTCTGTTCGCGGCTTCTGCCAGCTACGAAGCGCGCGCGAGCTGCGACAGTACTCCAGACAGCATGGCGACGGATCCTGACGCGTCGAGATGATAAGCGCCGAGTCATCGCAAGGGATGTTGCCAGACAATGCGCTGCAGTTGTACAAACACAAAACCGAATCCTCTGGGCGAAAGAGGTGATTGTGCGGTGGTGGAGGCTGACTCGAGCTCAACAGCATGGTCGAGTAGTTGCTGCATACGCCTTCGAGGACAACCAATATCTATGAACGCGAGTCACCATATGGGGGGATAGGGATTGCTGCACCATCCAGATGGTCTCTACAGCTCAGAAGGTCCAAGTGCAGCACTACCGTTTAGTTTGTGTATTCAGACAATAATTCATAATTCATAATTCCAATCACGCAGCATCACCCCCCCAAAATAGTGAAAGACACTTAGTCGCTACGTAATATCCCCTGCCCCCTCGCATCATAGCCCTTTAGCCAGATCATCACCCAACTAGTACCTAAACACCATCTATGATAGTTATTACATATGGGCATCCAACACCCAACACCCAACCACACACCCCCCACTAAAAAGCCTTATCTATCTATCTCCCAGGACAACTACAAAGAGGCAAACAAAGAACTACAGATACGAGAATGCTATCATTATCCAACATGATTATGTACATGGAATATAGATAATTAGTTAGTGGGGGTTGATAGAACCGATCATATCACAACTACTGTCTGAAGTCAAGTACTTACTTGCTTTTGTCATATATATACCCAACCAAGTCACTACTACTACCTATTGACCACTTACCTACGCCCCTTGCTTATTTATTTGTTGTAAGTTTTGTAACTAAGAGCAAGTTAGTTAATGGGTTAGTTTGATAATCTGTCTTATGTACATAGGGGATTATGTATGCGTTATGCGTTATGCATTTGGTGAAGAAGAAGCAAGCCAGAAGGATATGAACAGCGATCATGACGACAAAGTCTGCAGTGATATACATCATACTAATTACTGAGTAGTTAGTAACTGTACGATGATGATGTTGATGGTGATAAAAATAAATTCATACCATATATAAATAAATGATGCTATAATATATGCATCTGCCTATTTGCTCTACTGCTTGGCAACTACCATAGTTACAAGTACATATCTGGGATCAACCATGCAATCAAATCAACATATACAATTACTGGTATTAGGCAGTAAAATAAAATATTGAAATCAAAATGAATTATTACTTACTTACATACATGGTTATTTAGGTTTAAATTAGTTACTTAGTAAGTAATAGTAATAGTAATAATAACTAATAACAATAATCATGATGAAAGTAAGATTTCCTACGATGATATGCTTATGCTTCATGTTACATTAACTGTTACAGTAGGGTGTACCTACCTATTTGGTCTGTTTAGCCAGTAGTAGTAAAGGTATCGCTTACGTGGGAGAGATCAGCCAGCCATCCATTCATCCATCGTAATAATTATCATCCCACACACACACGGGAGGAGATGGAGGGAGAGAGAGTTTGTCGAGGTGAACTCGTATGATGTCACTGTTTTTTTCCTTTGTCGCAGCTGACGAGGAACAACTACTACGACGTACAAAGTAACTACTTACTGACTGTGTTGTAGTTGGCTGAAGTAATGATTTGTTCACGACTGATGTTATTCATTATTCCTTTAATTAATTTACCAATATTAATTAATCTGTCTCTTGTCAGTGGTTTCAGTGGTTGAGATATTTAAAGAAATGACGTCGGTTTGAGCATCTGCCACCTGCCAGCTGAAGCGGCCGATCGCATTTCCCCCTCCCTCCTCTACGAAGTATGACCGAGGTAGTATTGGGCATCCTTGATGATGATATAATGCTTCCGATGATCAGATGCTGTTCTGAATCATAACGACGAATCCGGAGAGTTGAGAGTAGCAGCAGCCCTGCGGGGAAGAGAAACCAGACGTTCGAGAAGATTACTGGAAGCGGCAATACACGCCTCCTCTTTTCTTATTCTTTCTCGTCTCTCTCTCTCCACCTTTCCCTTGTCCGATGACCAGATCGATCGCCAACGGGCTTTGACTTCCCTCCCTTACGCCGTACAGTAGTCTCGCTGCAAAGGGCCCTGCAGTGCATTGGTACCGGCCTGCTGGTTGGAGTCCCGGTAGAGTATATGTACCTGTGCTGGCGTGAACGAACTTTAATCGTGGGGTTGTTATTGGCAGAACGGCCGGTCCGCCATCAGGAGATTCCCCCTCTGGCAACCCTTCCTGAGCAAAGAGCGGTCGATCGCCGGCTCGGAGGGAATCGCGAGATACTCTTTGCTGGCCGGAGTTGCTATTCTTCCGGATCAGCGGAGAGGAAAGATGAAAAGGGGTATCTTAAACTTAGTCCGTATTGCAATGAGGCTTAGACAGACACACACACTCTGTCTCTTGGTATCGACTTGCTCCCGTGGACAATCTGTGATGTGCAGACAGACGTGTCCGAGGACCTGGACAGCTTGTCTTCTTCCAAGCCCCCTTAATTGGGTACGTCTAATCCATTCAAGCTGCAACATAGCCTAGTCGCTCTCTCTTTCCCCCTGAGCAAACTTCGACGTGGTCATGCTTGGTATTCGTTCGCCAAGAATTTGTCCTGCAATATAGGAGCAGATGATCGACGAAGATCTCCCACCTTCCGGGGGGTGATATTCCTTTTCAGACCGGCCAGTATCTACTTGGTGCTCTTGAGATGCTTCCCCCCATCCTCCTCCATCCCACAGCCGCAGTCATTCGCCCAAGTATTTGGAATGGCGCTTGGCATCCTTGGCCGGTCACCAACTCAACGCGGGATCCTCTTGGACCAGTTGCACCGGGGAGGCAAGGAGGAGGAGGAGTGTGTCGACGGCGGACAGTAGGTCGGTCGCTGTAGCTCCGGACTCCGGGAAAGACCGGGGACCGACCACTCTCCCACGCCGATGGGGGGTTCCAGCCAGACGCTCATTCCACCGCAACAGACGTCGTTCGCAACTTGGCTGTGATCATCTTGGCGGCAATTCTCCGTCGTACCGGGGGCAAGGTCACAGGACGTTGCCAAGAACTGCGGTGGAATGTCCAGAGGGGAGGGATGAGCACTGAGCAAGGGGCAGTCGAAACGGGGACCACTCGGTTTTTCAACTCCGCCTCTCGAGTGAAGGGCTCCCCTATCTTCATGGTTGCATGGGGTGAAATGTATACGCCTTGGCCATCTTGGCGGCCCTCTTGGCCGTCTCAGTCGGAATCATGACTCTCCCAAGAGGCTGTGATGTCTGTGATGTTGTAAGGTTTCGGGTGATCCGCTGTGTCTCCCCAACCCAGTGTGGTATGTCGATCATGCGCTCAATGATGAGAGCATTGTCATCCCTTTGAAGAACTGGGCTCGATGCTGCCACTGACACATTCTAGACGTTTGCCTACCACGGTAAGATTTCGACGTGCAGGCCGGCCCGTCCTGGAGTACTTGGGTTCTGGATCTTCATCCACCTTTGCAATGGCTTTGTTCTTTGTTGTCTCTGCTTTTCTTCATCGTGACTGAAGCAAGGGCGTACCCCCCATGTGCGACTAGATTACTGCATTAGCGACCATCTTATCTTCCGTGTAACCGATACCTGGTATACGGGAGGTATGGTAATTGTGGTTACCTGAATCGAAGCGAGGAGGAGTAGGCTGATTAACGTCGACGACGTTCTGAATCCTTCCATGACTGACCATGCCATGCGCTCAGTCATGGGCTCGGAGTGTGGGAGGCGCACTTGCATATGTCATGACGGCAGCCTCGTTTTTATCCGCATAAAAGCCATGGATGGGATGTCTGATGTCCGGGGGTGGGTTTAGCTCAACAGCCAGGGGAGTCGACGATGATCTGCCAATTGACCGAGTCCAAGACCCCGATCCATCAATCACGACGGTTGTACGGGGTACAGATGGACAATGCCGGGTCGGCGGAAATGAAGCTGGCTGTCGCACGGCTAGCTGACCATGAGACAGGCAAAAGGCACCTTGTTGCCGTGCCGGACTGGCGAGTCGCTGGGACTTTTTTCTGGGGCATGGATTACTCGATTGGGTGCGTCGTGCATCGCAACTTGAAGCCGGCGCGAATCCAAGCGCGAGTCCCGTGCTGGTGGAGAGGGCAAGAGGAGGAGAAAGCCATCGACGGTCCAGTCAGCGTCGTTAGGGCATCGACCTAGGGAGAATAAAATCCCTCATACAAACCGCTCTTAGGCCGACGTCGGCCATTAAGGTACAAGGCTCTAACTCTTAGTCGCCTTAGCTGCAGGCCAATGACACCACCGCAGCAGAACTTTTGATCCTGGGCGCGGAGGTCGATAAGCGGACGTATTAATCCTTAATCCTAATCCTGGGTAGCTCAGTCGGTGTTTGTTAGGTTAATGCTTTTCTTATCCGGCGTTGATCCCGGCGTCTGTCTGCCTGTCAACCTCTCACAGTAGCAGTAGCAGTTATACCATAGCACCGCGCCGAAAAAAGTGGCCCTGAGGCATCCGCCCACCAAAGAGACAATCCCATTCATGCTCTCTGGTCTGTTCGTCTCCATAATCGATCTCATGGCGGTCCACTCGCACGCGCGACAGTTCAGAATCTCCACCAGGTGCTGCTGGTGGTTCGATCATCAATATGCAAGCTAGCATAGTAGCCATCCTATCCCAGAAAAGGCTGGGGGAGGAAGAACTGGATGGGGTTGAGGACGGTTGTTCGTATGCCACATAGCATTTCCTCTTCCGGGTGGCCGGTGACCATCGTGGTGGCAGACTCTACCTGCCTACTGTACAAACTTCTTCTTCTCCTCCTGTAAGAGTCGCCTTTGGAGTTTGGGTTTCAATTAAGATTTTATTTTATTTTTTCCCCTTCCTCTTTATTTCCTTTTTCTTCGGGTTTTGCTTGCCTCCCCTCGGCCATGCCGTTCAGCCAGAGATCTTCAGCTCTTCAATGAGGATCGAAAGTTTGCACGCTGTTCACGAGTACTTGGAAAGAATGATTGTATATAGTTTGTATTTCTTATTCTGTTTTTCCTTTCCGTCGTCGGTCGGAGTTTAATTGCGGAAACTCTGTTTCAATCTTGGCTTCTAGGCCGCGTAGCACATAGACCATATGTATTCGGAACATAAGTATACATAAGTCGCATGTACCTTGTATCTTGTTCTCGATCCCAAGTGCGGAGAGTCCGTGTTGGCGGCCATGGATGAGGATCCTTCAGAGGGGACTGAGTGTGCGTGTGAGTGTGGTAGCCAAGCATGGGGTCGCTAAAAGGTCGCATTTCCTTCCCCCCCAACAGCGGCATATGCAATGTGTAACGGGGGTGAAACTGGCGCTTCAACCCACGCCGTAAGCAACAATAACAACCAGCATGCTTAGTTGAATGAACCAGGGCCGGGAAGCCCAAAGGGGCAATTGGAGTCGTAAGACTTCACGAGGTAACGAAGGATCGTGTAAATTTGCCGACCCCGTTGGTTCGTGAAAGTAGTTAGTTAGTACTACTAACTCCAAGGACTGCCAGTGCCGATTGTTAGTCTAGTTAGTACTTCCCCAGCAGTTTTTTTTTTCTTCCTATTCCCATGACTGGCTGAGATTTGGATCGATCCTGATTGCTGGGATCGAGGATAAAAGCGGGCAAAAACAGCAAAAGAAAAGTACTCCCGAGACGCGCAGATTGGCTGCTGCGATTGTGGGAAGCTGCATCTCCCGGAGCAGCCATGGCACTGAGTGGGGGTTATCCCTGAATCGCATGAAGCTTGTCCCAGCACTTCAAGGCTTCGTAAATCGTGAGGCGTTTGGTTAGTAGTCTAGCTGGGGCCCCCCATCCTCAGCGACCGTGAATTGTGCAAGTTTCTGATTGTAAGCCCGTTGGTGTAGAAGTGGATGGGGGTGGGATTAGCCCGCTCGATGGTCTCCGCTTTGGAGATCGCTACCGTGATTCTGAGCTCGGTGAACCGCCGCCCGGCTGTCAGTCATTAGAGAGAAAAGTGATGCAGTTTGGGTCTCTACTCTGTAGTTCTCTGGTTCTGGCGCTGACCGCTTCTCTCAGCCCTTTGCCATCGGGCATAGATCTGGTCATCATCACCTTACTGCTTTTTTCCCATCTTCCCTGTCTCCATTCTTCCGGAGATACTCTATCCACAACTCAATCCAGTCTGGGAAAGACGGCACGATCGTCTGAAGGGAATGATGGGATCTGAGATGCAGTTTTGATCGTTTCCAGTCCGGATTTGGGGGTGGTCTTGGCACGGGTCTCGTATGTACGGCGTATGTATGAGCATCGGTCTGTATGTATGGATACCAGGCCGATCCCGATGGGTTTTTCCTTCTTCCTCTTGCGCTCTCCCCTTCCCATCACTGCCACCCGCGCTTGAGTTTGCTGAGCCTTTCTTGTCGGACATGCCTAATTCTAAACTTAGTGGCCCCCAAGGCTGAGATCCTAGAGATAAACGGACAAGTTGCTGGATGAGACGAAACTCTATCTCCAGAATTGGCTGCTACCTGGGTGACCATCCCTGGGATGATCACTGTGGAGTTACCCGGGGGAAAGACAAGAACTCGGCTGTCAAACCACCCAGCGACAAACTATCCCAAGATCGTGCTATTGTTTGAGGAATCCATTGAACAATGAGCCATGATTACTAGTTCCAGTCCTTATTTGTATAGTTCAGATCTAATCTAGTTATTTCTGGCAACACTGGTCCGATCATCTTGAGTCCAAATATGTTGTACAGCCAAGAGCCAACTATTCCCGCCCAGACCGACTGTCACTCCCAGCTGTTGTCAATCAGGTGGCGGTGCTTCTAGTCAACAACATACTTGGGAGTTCTGTAACATGGCTTGAGGTTCCCCATATACTACTCATCATTCTCATTTGGACCGATCTAGGTACCAGCTTTCCTGGGTACGGTTATCGGAACCAACCTTGAGAGCTGAGCGTGGCAGATCGAAGACATGGAAACCACCTGCTTGTCCCATTGCCAGTCGCTGTAACCTCAAGCAAACTTTCCGGGACTCGAGAGCGTCATGATCGATCCCGGTCACAGTCGGGGAATTATTATTCTCTTGGTTCTATTGATGTGGTAGCCGTTGTAATGTAGTACTCTGGGGTAGAGTTGGTGCAACTGAAGAGTTGTTCAGTTTAATTCACCTCGTCATAGCAGGGGGGATAGGGGTCTAGTCGGTCCGAGAAACTGGGATGGAATCGTCGAGACTTCTCTCGCAGTTGGTTCGCAGTACCCAGTGATGTCTGTAGCAAGCAAGCAAGTTTGTCGTTCTGGCCCGCATCATCGGCATCGCACAAGTTTCTCCTACTACTGCTTCAGACTGAGATAACCTTCAAGACTGCCGTGACACAGCATGACTAGGGGGAAACCTTACGTCACAGGGCCAAGACCATCGCTTTCCGGATCAGGAACCACCAGATTTAAGCCCAGCTAGGGAAAGTCTCGGCAAATGCAATAGTGAGCAATGACAAGAAATACCAAGCATTGTTATTGGGATTGTAAAACAATAATGGCGACCAGCAGGGGGAAAAAGGGAGGCAGTGTTTTGAAGGACTTGACTTGTTGTCACTTTGTCTAGTCTTTGAGAATGAGGCGTGGTGCCAAGCACCACATTGGTAGCACTATAATGGTGATTGTCTTCTTGAGTATTATCTTGGCCTCCTTAACGAAATTACCATAGTAGTCTACTTTTGGTGTGCTGTGTGTGTATGGAGGTAATGCGCTCCTGGAGCTGCGACCGACCGAATCAGTCG